GGGAGCGAAGCGCTCCCGCAGCCGGGGCTCGGCGGCACCTCCGGCCATTAGCTGCTCGCTCGCTTTCCTGCGGGCTGGCGCAAGCGCCGGCTCACCGAACTCCCGGCTAAAGCAAAGGGCGACAGGGAACGGGAAAGACTAAAACAGAGGATGGCGACGACAAGAAAAGTGTGGTTTCGTGCAGGGTCTGCTCCCTTCCCTCCCTCCGCAGCTACAACGCTCTCCACCAGCCAGAGCGACACCAGTATTTGCAGAATGAAGTTTGGTGCTATTTAAAGCTTTCAGTGCTCTTGGAGAAGAGTGTTGACAGCTGGACTAGGAACATGTGCCTACCTCCCGTTCTGGTTTAAGGAGGATTTCTGGAGGCTCGGTCAGAAGTAATGCTTCTGGCCTTCAGAAATCCCTCCACGTGGGTGGCTTTTCAGAGCTTGTGTGAGGGGGCAAAGGCGCCCCCCGCCTCCCACGGAGCTGTCTCCAAAGTCCCAGGAAAGGGGACTGTGCGATACCGATGGGCGCACAGCCCCCTGGATGAGACAGGATCACTCTGCCCCGGTGCCCCGCAGTGCCGCAGGCTCTCCCAGCTCACTGGGCTCCCAGCACCGTGGCAGCGATGCCAACATGGGTCCCTGGTGAGGCAGTGTGATACAGGCACTGCCAGCTCCCGGCACGAAGCTGAGCCGCTACACCTCGAGCAGCCCTTGCTCCTGCGCGGCAGTGCCTGGGACCCCACTGCTGTCTGCACGCCCTGGCAGCACCGCAGCCCCCTCCCCACCCGTTCTTGGCACTGGTCAGTTTGGGAAGAGACACCTGCGCTTTGAAAAATCTGCTTTTTGCTAAATCCACTGAGGACAATAACCCTGGGTGACTGGGACAAGGAGGAGCCCCGGTCCTGCTCTCATAACACGCTTGTTTGCAATGAGTTTGGCTCAGTGTCAGCGAGGTTTGCACTCACACAGTTCGTGTGCTGTAGCACGGAGCCATGCTTCTGCTTACAAAGGGGGAGGCGGCAAGGGAAAGGTCCTTCCTGTGCTCTGTCCCTGCTCCAGGGTCCCAGTGGACCAGCTGGAGGGACCTTGCCCTTACTTATAGACAGTCCCAGCTGTCCACAGCAGCTCTCACAGTGTGGTGGGGACCAGTGATGAGCCCAACTGCCTCCCTGGGATGTGCACTGTGGGGTCCCCATGCCCAGAGAGCCAGGAGTGGGGTTTCCACTTAGCTCTGGGAACGGCAAGCTCAGTGTCAGCCATTTCCATCTGGCACCGACCCGGGGAGGGCTCGGTGACTGCCACTGCTAGCACTGGGAAGAGCACAGCCAGGGAGAGCCATGGCACAGGGGTGGCAAGCCAAGCATTGCCCCTCCGAGCTGAGCATCACCCCTCCGAGCCGCCTCAGTCCCTGGCTGGCGCTGAGCTCGCTGTGTGCTCTCCCGCACTAAACACTTTTGCTTATTCTGGCAACTAACCCATCTGACGGCAGAGCATTCAAGGGTCACTGGCCTCGAGTGATCATGAACGATATCGCATCGCTCCAACGCAGCGCCTGGGGCGGTGGGGACGTGGCCACCGGCTGTTCCAGCACGCAGCGCTGCCTGGGCTGGGAGGCAGAGCAGACCGCCTGAGGCCAGGGAACCAGACACCCTCTTTGTCACTGAATTTACAGTTGGTCTCTCCAATTTGTCAGCAGTTGTGGAGCAGTAAAGCTGCTAGAGAGCTGCGCTCAGCCTGGCTGATGCACAGAACCATCCCTGGCATTCTCCGGGCTCAGCGGCGCTTGTTTGGGGAGGGGGCACACAGACAGCAAACCCCCGGCCGACGGGCCCCATGCCTCCCTGAAAGTGGAGATGAGCGCTGGGCTTTGCTCCAGCGCTGGATGCTGTGAGCCGCAGACCTGGCACGGCTCTGGCAGCACACGGAGCCCATCCTCCGTGGTGATACCATGGAAAGCAGCACCACAGCACAAGAAATATGGCACAGTTGGGTCGGGAGCGCAGCGCTTTGCTGAGAGCCCGGCTGCCGGCTGGCTGCAGGACCTCTGTCCCTGCCCTGGCGGGCTCACAGCATGCGATGCGAGCCCAGCCTGCAGAGCCCTCCAGGAGGGACGCTTAGAGCCCAGCACGGCCGCAGCACCCAGGGCTGCGCTGGGCACGCCAGGGGAGGACAGGGCTGCTTGGGCAGAGAAGGCTGCCAAACCCCAGTGCCAAGGTCCAAAAACCCAGGGCTCAGCAGGGGGGTAATAGCAATCCCTTCCAGCCTGAACACGGGGACTGTGTGTGTGGGGCACGGCTGCGCCCTGGGGCCGGGAGCGCGTGGCAGAGAGGAGAGCTGTACACACTGCTGCCTTTGCAGATCTGGTGCTGGAGACATGGGACCTGCAG